AGCTAAGTATAGCTTATACTTTAAGCTTTTAATTAAAAAGATAGAGAAGTATAACGTCTAGCTATCTTATATATTTAATATAGATAAAAAGAAGTTTTAACTTAGAAAGATTAGTAGAATAAAGCGTATTTTCTCTAAAGCACGTTATATAAAAAAGAGGGTACGCTAACTACTTAAAGATAGCTTAAGTAAGTAGATTACTATTATAGCTTATATTTATTTAGATAGGAGCGTTTTAAGTCTTTTTCTTATCTTTAAAGTAGCTAATAAAGCTATATAAACTAGCTAAGTTAATACTATATAAGTAGAAAACTACTTAGTCTTTACTACGTTATTGCCCTCTAGCTAAAGTAATAATAATATTAGATTATATTAGCTTAAGGAGGTGTTTAAAAGAGAAACTTAGTAGTATACTTTAACTAAGTATTAATTACTACTCCTTAACAGCTATAGATCTTATATTATAATAGACTTTATTAATTATTATTATAATTATAAGATCTTATTAGCTATATATCTACTTTATACTACCTATACGCTTTAACTACTTAATAAAGTAATATTTAAACCTTTAGTAAACGCTTACTTAAAAGAGCTAACTTAATACTTTTAAAACTACTAAAGATTACTTAATATAACTAAAAGAGACTTCTTCTTACTTTTCTAGAGGTCCTAAGTTAAGGTTTTTAAACCTTTCTTTATTAAAAGGTCTTTTAAAGTAACTAGTATATACTTACCTAATCTAGTAGTTATACTTAATAAGTTTACTAAGGAAAAGTTAGATTTAGAAGCTAGTTTAAGCTCTATACTCTTTACTAAGAATTAGCTTAAGCTAAAGTTAATTATACGTTAGAAAGTAAGAGATTAAAGTAGTAAAGAAGTTAAAAAGCTTTAATAAAGTTTATACTACTTTATAGCTTAAAATATACTCCTTTATAGTAAACTCTAAGGCCTTAAGTAGTTTCTAGCTATTAAGAAAAAGTAAGAAACTAAATCTTATACTTTATAGCTTAAAGATTATCCTAAGTATTATAGTAGAGCTATTTAGTAGTTACTAATAAGCGTTAAATAAGTTTAAGATAATAAGATATAATAATAATAATAAGCTAAGCTTAAAAAGCTTTAAAAAGCTAAGTAAGCTAAAGTAAGTAAAGTAGCTTATAATTATAAGGTAAAGTTTAAAGCTATAAGGCGTATAGAGTAGAAGAAGAGTTAGAAAGAGACTAGAAAGTAGAAGGCTATAAAGAAAACTAAAAGAGAGTATTATAGAAGCCTCTATAACGCTACTAAAGCTATATAATTACTTAAATTAAGTAAGCGTAAAGCTTTAAAAGCTTATAAGCTAGCTATAAAGTGTTAAAAGTATAGTAGTATTACTATAACTATAATAAGAGCTATATAGGTTATACTAGCTACTCTACTGCGTAGTTAATAAGACTGCTCTATAACGCTATCTAAAAAAATATCTAAATAAGCTAAAAGTTTTATAGGCCTATATATAGTATAAATCTACTTTTGCGTAATTTTATTATAATTTGTAGTAGCTCTACAACCTTATTTTGTTAACTATATTAAGTTATTAGGGGTGCTTAACTGGCGTTGGTGCTCAACTAACGCACGGGCACTGTAGCGCAGACACGTCGGACGCGTTCAACACAACACGGAGAGAGCCGCGTCGTGATCCAGACGTTATTAACACCGAAAGAAGCAAACAGGCCACAAGGTGCATGGGTATGAGCTAATGCAGTGCAGCTATCAACTGCCGTCGCTACCGCACTATTTCAATATGAGCTATAGCTAGTTTCTGCCCAGGTAGCTCAACATATAAACTGTGCATGGGGTTAATGCATCGCGACTTCTTCATCAGGAGAGTGGTACTGGCAGACTGGTTCGGTGAAGAATTCTTTATTTGTCGCTCAGTCCACCGCAGTACTTCTGGAACCGATCCTTCGACCCTCAGCCTTGCCTACAGCCAAGTACCTCACAATTGCAATTGTAGATACACCAGCGAGAGCAGGAGCAGGTGAAGGATGTGTGACGCAAGAAATGGCACAGAGTCCAGTCTGAGTGCTGTCGAGTATGATATCGAATGAATTGTATTAAGGAAACTGGCAGAAGTTGCCGCGTAGGTGATTAATGCTTTAAAGGCACGTAGACCTGTTTGTGTACTTGGTTTCGTGATGAGTCTTAGATTCTTGTTCTGAAGAACATGTGCAGGCGATAATTCAGCGCTGCTGAGCCAGGAGAGATCCGTGTGAGGATGGGTACTAGGAACAAAGGAAATGAATGAGCTCGCGAGGCAGCCTTCTTTGGACTGCTCAACGCTCGCCGTAGACAAGATGGGTATCCAGCAATCCCTATCAAGAAATGGTAACTTTTTGCCCGGGCCCAGGGCACCGCGACAAGGGGTATAGAAACGAAAACGGGGACAGGACACCCCAAAGATCAGATGCAGACTGGAGCCGCTGTGCAAAAGTCTCGAGTGATGCAGAACAAAGGGAATCGCTCAAACGCCCCGGAAATGGAAAAGGACCAAACGCCAATGCTGTGGGGATCCAATACCATGCAGCAATCATCGATAACGCCGTGAATCAATCCGCCATGAGTTAGTTTAGTTTCGTTATAGTGTTGGTTGGTTGTTATGCAGGCCTAATAAGATGCCATGCGACGAGAAGCGGCGTTGACACGTCCGATTTCAAGAGAGTCATTGCCGAGGGTGAAAAGATTGTTTCCAGATCTTGTACGGCCCATGGCTGTAGGGCTGTCTTCCATCTGGCAGTGCTGCCCAAAGGTGAAAGTGGTAGCACGGTTGAGTTTAGCACGCGACTTGAACTTGAGTTTGTTAAGGCCGCGTTCACAGGATTGCTCATGCTCTTTGGCATCCATGCGAAGGTAGTTCTGAGGATAGCAGCGGGTTGCATGTGCATGATAGAAGGAGCTGTAACCGCCGTCGAGGATGTAAACTTCAGGGAACGAGAGGTGAGGATATTGATGCGCATTCTCCTTGCGATCTTGCGAGCGAACAAACTTGGCCCTGTTGCTGTTAGTGGTGACCACAGGCGGGAGTATTGGAAGTACTTACATGAGAGGAGCACGATGCGCTGAGTACTCGCAGTGCAGTATCAGAAGAGTGTTGTCACTTGACGGAGCCTGGAAGAGACGCTCGGCAAGCTTCTCCTTGTCACAGAAGTTCAATGCACCTTCAATGTGGCCACCATTGTATTCGTACTCGAAGCGGCAGTCAATAACCACCTTGTTGTCATACAGGTGATCATAAGCACCGTCAAGGACCTCCACCAATGTCTCGTGGGTAATACGGGGGAGGCTCTCTGGCTCGCTGGTAGTGAAGTGTGGAAGCTTGAGTGGGTTGGCATCATCGACATCCATCACAGACTGAAGCCCACTGGGCTGGTAGTCATCCTGTTCCTGCTTGGCATTCATCACTTCACCGGGACTTTCGAACATGCTTAACGATCTGCGGAACTTGCTGGGACGACGAGAAGGGGGACCGACAGGCTTCCTGACAGCGGCGAGAGGGGAACCGTTGGCACGAGCGGCAGTAGAGTTGAGAGAAAAGGGCTTGGGTTTCGATGCGAAGAGAGAGCCATTGGAGGTGGGACGACGTTCTTGAGGTGGGGAGGCAGTGAAGCACTCATCCAAGCTCAATGAAGACGAGGTCCTGGCGAAGTCACCGCAACCAAATTGGAAAGCCGGCAGCGAGGTGCTCGATGGCTTTTCTTGGTCCTTGAACGACACACTGTTAGTAGAGTAGTTCTTGTGGCGCGAAAGAGAGGGCCTGAGCAGAGCGGACTTTCGGCGTCTATATTGTATTAGCATGGACTGAGTGAAGGAGCGGCTCGTGTACTGACTCGGCGGCTGACACGGGTCGTGGAACCTCGAGTGAGGGTGTAGAGTATGCGGGTGGGGTGGGTAGGTCGTCACATGGAGTGAGCATGTCGCTGTCGGATCCTGGGGTCACCTCTGGGGAGGGCGAGGGTAGGGGCAGGCAGCGGTCGTTGATGAAGCTGAAAGGTGCCTTGTGAGGAAGAGGCGAGATGTCCATGGAGTCTGGTGCGAAGCCGGGCGAGGACGATGGGATTGGCGGAGTCGTAACGCCTTCCCATCGAGCCAGTGGGGTCGTGACTTCTGTTTGAACCTGTCAGCCTGATGCCTCCCGTTTGGAGTGAATGCACAGCCACTTACCCCGTGTGTCGAGTTGCTGAAAGAGATTCGACGTGAAGAGCGACCGGCGAGGCGTCTGGAGCTGAGGGCTACAACAAAGCATGTCAGTACCGCAATGGGAAGGTATAGAGGGACAAAGAGGGATTGTACCTCTGGTCCATGTGCAGGTTGCTCGACATGTCGGCGGCCAGGCTGGTCGTGGGCGACGAGCCTCGCATGGGCTGCAGGGTGAAGTAGTCTCCCCCACTCTTCTTCATGCTGAGGTCGCGGAAGTTGAAGCTCTTGGGACCCAGGCTGTGTGCTCCTCCAAACAACGGCTTCGATTGTGGCAGGTCACGACGGTATCCCCAGGGGCCGGGGATGGGCGGCGGGTGCATGGCCGCGAGAGGTGAAGACATCTCCATGGTGGGCTGGTGTTGGTGGTGGTGGTGGCTGTCGTAGTCGTAGTACCGGGCAACGAGCGTTTGCACGTCTTCACTGAACGGATGTCGAAAAGGCGATACTGGCGATAAGCATGCAAGACGGGAAAACTAATTCCAATCTGAAGATGCTGGGTGAGATAGCTGGTGAGATAGCTCGATGGGGTCGTGGCCGTGGTAGAGATGCTAGAGACGGGCTCCGGACATGAGGCTGAGGGCGGCTCTGTGTTGGGCGTAGTGGATGGTGAACGAGGTAGCGACTGCCTATACGATACTCTCTTCCTAATATCAATCCAAGCAAAGCAACCGTCGTCCAAAATCCTCAGCCAACTTAAAGAGGGGATTGGGCCTTCTTGGGTGCGAGAAGGGTAGAGAAGAGGAAGGCGGATCCAGGTCACGCAGCTGGATTTGAGGATGCCGTGGTTGCTGGGGTAGCCCGCTGCTGGGTTCAGGTTAGGGCCGACGACCAGGGCGTGGGCTTTGGAGCTAGGCGCTTGCACACACCGGAGGCCTCAATGCTCAGCACGGGACAAAGAATACTGGGGACTGGAGTTTGCTTGCGCCGGCTATGCACTCAGCCCAGAGCTATGCTGTTGATCCGCTGCCTCTAATGCCGCCGCAGGTACACCGGCCGCTGATTTGATCTCGATCCTACGTAGTCCATCGCGTAGCTGCAGCAATACGCAGCTAATCACGCGAAGCCGACGTAAACAAGCGTTCGCAGCTGTTCCATGTATTGCAACATCGCCCGACTGTCACCGTCTTGCAGCACTGACAGCCAGCTCCATAGAATAACCATCCAACGTGACATGCTTCACCGAAACCTTGACCTGAAATGAATCTCGACGAGGCTCAGTTCCAGCCAGTTCCAGCTGCACCTCAGCATCGCGTTGCCAGAGAAGCAATTCCCTAGCTCGGCACGGATCAGACGCAAGCGGAATGGGTGCTCCCTGTCAGCACGATACGTGAAACCATACGTTCGCTCTGCGCCTAAACTCGCGCCGCCGAGAGAATTTCTCCCCTCGGAGTGGTTCTGCGTGGAGTGCTCTAGCCGTGCTGCGTAACGTACAAACCGTCTCCAAGGGAAACCGACAGAGCTGCCCACTCGCTACCGAAGAACCACCAGCCTAGCATATCTATGCATACTACCGCACACTGCATACCTCTTTCGGCATCAACTACCCCAACTCCAGCCTCGTTCAAGACGCGTGAGATGTTTTGGACGGCACGCTCGGTCTTCATCTGCGTAGACTTTCGTCATAGTATGGCCCAGCAGCAGGCTTGGCTGCTCTGGCAGGGACTCTGCCAGGGAACCGCCTCGCTGTAACACGGCTTATGACGCGCCTCATTGGCTGCCTCTCCTTTGCCCGACTCATTGGGCGAGCGGGAGATTTTCAGTCTGAATTCGGTGCAGCGAGACCGACGTCGCAGGCCTCGCAGGCGCCGCTGGCTTGACGACGTGAGCTCACCCCGGCCCGTTCGCCCTCTGATCCCCTTAGACCCAACCGGGTGCATAAAACAGGAAAGGCTCCATCCTACACGCTACCGCTCTAGTTCCGTGCTCGCGATCGAACTCTCTCCTCTGCGATCGCGATGGCGACATACATCGAACGTCATAGGCAATAAGGCTGAGATGAACTGCCAACTTTGCTATTCTTATCGACCGGTTTGCTCCAACTTCTGCAAACCAGTTCAGACAACTGTCAACCTGTCGACCAAGCACCCTCGCTAATACTCGCAACAACAACACCATCGTCAGCCATGGCCCCTCGGAGTGACCGGGGGCCGCTGTCATAGTTGTTGTGGTGCCATTAAGAGGCGAGCTGAGTCGTTGTTCGAGAACGGCGGCTCTCCAACCACCACTTTGCACAAAGCCTTCATAACCGGCACGCGATCGGCTGGACCCCACCACCAACGGGCTGACCCCTCCTTTAGTGGACCGCCAGACACACGACAAGGCCAGTGTGTGGCGCTTGTTGCACGCGCCTCGAAAAACCATCGTCTCGTCTCCAGGTGCGACGCGTCAAGCTCATAGTACACAAACAACCGTCTTCGCGCCATCACCTGACCTAAATAGGTGAAGGCGAGTCTCACCACAGGGTCTGCGTCATATACCCCAGACCTCGGGACCCGCTTCACCATGCCGCCAGAGGAGGCCTCGCGTTTCGAGACCCTGAAAATCTGCACAGTGGTGGCAGCTTAGCCGCAAACTCTTTGTCATGGTGTCTTTGAGACTTCATCGTGTCAGCACCTGGCCGGACGCATCCGACTTATGTGCAGTACCAAATACATCATGGTGGACACTTTGTGTGAAGAAAAACTCTGTTCATGATTCTCAAGACTATCGCGGGACATGTTTCGGGCCCGAGGGTCACTCACCATGAAAACCCAGAAGCTGCTGAAGCTCCTTGAAGCGTTCACGAGTATCAGCCATTATCGGAAATCATCCCTTGTGTCCCGTTCTCGGTCAGCACGTTGCACATCAGACCCTCTTTCGTCGGACAAAGGATTCACTTATAGTAATATACCTCGAGGGTGCAAGGCTCCAACAGGAAGCACGGGTTTCACCTCGATGCAAGCGGCGCCTTCGCTTGCGGCCTTGCGTGTTCCTATCTCTCGGAGCTTGCGATTTCTGAGACAACGCGGGACGCTGTGACACGCGCTTTCAGCCTGTGACTGCGGGGACATCCGGTGAGCATCCGCTCCGCAGCATCGTCACATTCCAGATTTAAATTTCCCCAGTACAAAGAACGGCAAAGTTCTGCAGCGCTGTTTCGTCTTCCCGCTGGGTAGACCCTTCAGATTTCTAAACACACCATTGCGCATCATCTTCTATTGTCAATCTTCACGATTCATCCTGCCGGATGACGGTTTAGCTTTGCCCGGCGCCTCTCGCATATTTGCAACATTGTTGCCATGGAGATGCATGGGGTCAGACGCGCCTCATGTGTACCCAGCCGGCTCCTCTTTGCACAACCCATTCGTATTATCCAAAGTTTTGAAAGAGTCAGTGAATTATGTGCACATCGTGAGCAAACTTTGCAAAATGTGCAAAAGGGGGTGGAGTTTGGGCAGAGGCACCGACCACGCAATCTGCGATATCGATAGGGAAAACTTCACCGCCTGCTCCTTTTCTTATTGAACACGTAGAATCTTAGTTGCACAGAGCAACGTGAAGTATTTAATCGCCGGCGCGCCCTCTCGAATTGTTCTTGTGTCAGCCCGGCAGTATCGCTTCACGCTCTCGCATACCAAGTATCGATTGTCTACCTTGTCCACAGCGCATTGGTATCTATCGATATTTTGAACAAAGGGTCAAGAATGCTCGATGGGACACAACCAGTCATGTTGCGGGGTGATGGGTGCGTCTAGTGATATTAAACTTGGTATAAGACAAGGGATGCAAGAGCTGGTTTATGGCGATATCGGATTCTCTATCGTTCTCATTCATGGAATGACATCAAAAACTTTTGCAAGATAGTCGGCATGTGCATGAACGATGTGTTCATCCAAAGCATGTTGCGCACTCATCATGAAAGATTGGAGTCACATTGAAGAGCGAACTCTTCAGCGCCTACTACATTAGAGCCCGGGATATACATCGCTGTCTCGCCCCTCTCAGCTTCTGAACCACAAGAACCTAGTCTTCTCCGTTATCGTGGTTACTCAAAATATGTCTCATGCCCAGGCCGTTTCGCGCTCGATCCTCTTGCTCTACCACGCTCAACGGCAATCCTTTCCCAATACCACATAACACGAAAGCCGCCCACTTCCACCTGAATGGGTTGATCGCAATCGTAAAAACGAACCAATAGATCAGTTCAGAATATGTGAAGAAGTCGAAAGCCCCACCAGGAGCTTTGCTCTTGATGAACCGCGTCATGTCGATCCAGCGCTTCATCCACCAAGTGCGCGGTCGAGCCAGAGGGTCAACGAGGTACATGAGCAGGAAGCGTGTGTAGATGCCGATATGGTAGTTTCCAACTGTGCCAATAGCGTTGACATATGTGCAGTTGTTTGCACAGATTGAAGGGTGCTCAGGTGGAAAGACTTGGAGGTACCAGTTTGGTGGCTCGTACGGCTCGTTGAAGACTTCATCTGGTAAGAAACTTAGGCTTGGACGCTTATATCCCGTCGCCATAATAACAACATCCGCTTCAATTAGTTTCTCAGAGCCAGGGCCGTTCTTAGGAACCCCTTGAGCACGCTTGTTAAACTTGATGCCATTGCCGGATTCATCATAGCCCATGATGTCGCCGCGAAGCCATGATGCTTTGCCTGAGCGGACGAGGTCTAGCACTTGGTCATTTACCATTGGTGTTTCAGTGAAAAGACCCTTTCCGCTGTTGGGCGCAGGGGAGATATCGTAGAGGTCACGGTAGAAGAAAAGTCGTAGGATGTACTCAGGAATCCAACTGAAGATGGTCTCGCTGCCGAAGATGTTCAGAGCAAGAAGGCTATCGATGAATGGGTTTCGTGGGATGATCCATTTCTCTGACCGGGCGAGGACGTTGGTGTGCTCTGCTTCTGAGCTGGCTACGAATTCCAAAGCTTCAACTGCGGAGGCACCGCCGCCTATAATAGCAACCTTCTTGCCTTTAGCGTTCTTGCCGTCGAGCTGCGAGCTATGCCAAATTTCACCCTTAAAGTTCTCTTGGCCATGTAGCGTGGGCATCTTAGGATCACCACAAGTACCAATTGCAGCTATTACACCATCGAACCGTCCGTGAGAGGGATCATTGATGATCCATCGCCCATGAGGGTCTTTGTACACCTTTTCAACACGTGTGTTAAACTCAGTCTTACTTTCAAGACCATATCGTTTCCAGAGTTCCGTGATTTGTGAAACAATTTGCTGGCGATCCGGGTATCCTTGGCTCCAGTGCACGGAAGGGTGGAACCGGTACATGAGCGAGTGAATTTGCAGACCAGACGTATTGTTCACCCGACTCCAAATTCCACCGAGATTCTTCTTGGACCCGGCTTCGAAGATACGACAGTCGAAGCCATGGCCAACGATGTGCGATGCAGCAGACACTCCTGTTAGACCTGCGCCAATGACAGCGATTTTTGGGCGCACGAGGTTTGGGTGTGGTGGTGGCGGTGTTGGCGACAGAACCCAATCAAGCACATATTGTATGACTTGGTAAATGAAAAGGACAGGGTGGGTGAGGAAATATCTGATGTAACTCCAGAAGTAACCCATTGTGGCAGATGGCTTTCTGACTTTTCGGGAGGATAGAGATGCAAAGGTGAAAGCAGGGTGACAGTCACAGAACTTAAAACTACATGAGCTTGACTTGTTTTGGTGGCGTTTATCCTCTTGCGGATCCTTACGGAAACGTGCAGCTTCGGACGTTGTGTTTCGCATATTACCACTTGTGATGTCACGGTGGAACCGCTGCATTGGTCTGACATGTGAAAGCCTCCGAGACTGTTGGGTTGCGTTCGGCCGCGCAAGCTGAGACGGCGTTCGCCATTACTTTTCAGAGGTCTCCCACCCAACGGTTCCTCCATATTCGAGTTGCCCATGTGAATTTGGTTCAAGACACCATCCTAGTGGCCAACGTCGACCAAAGTGTGGGAACGAATAAAAAATGTCCCTCACAGATCGGCGACAGGGATATAGCGAGTGGTGAGACTAGGAGCTAGGACCTGGCGCTAAGCCTAAAGCGCTCTGCTGCTGCTCTTTGAATCCACCGCTTAGCTCGACTCTTCACTTAACCACCAACGGTGGCTCCTATAGCCATGTCCTTCTTCCGGAGTCAACCCGATGTAGAGACACGCTTGTGTACGGCGGTCAACGTCGCTATTCAAACTGGGGATCCGTATCAACTACAGTCGATTGTGCTTCTGGAGCCAGGTGAAGGCAATGCTTTTCCACCCGATCATCAAGAACTCATTAAATCCTTGCAGCAGAATTATCCTGCTAGCAATGGAGATTCTGAGAAACGTCTTGAAGATCTTGTCAGACGGGTTGTGACCGAGACAGCAGAGTCAGAGGATGAGGAGGGTAGACCAGTACAGTCTTGGGGTTCGTTGGTTACTTTTCTCGTCGGATGGATGACCTTTCTCCGAGATGTAGACGCAGAGAATTTGGTTTTGGTGTTTGAGCTGATGACAGATCTTCAACCGTAGGTCGAATAAATGTATGCCTCAAAACTACTCGAAGCTAACGTACCTCTAGGCGAGCAAACAGCGCCTTACAGCATCCTACTAAAGGCATCCTGATGCTTCCCACTATCATGTACTATGCAAAGGTATTTGCAAGAGTGGCGATTGGACTAGAGAAGCGGCCCGATCTGACAATGCATCTCATCACTACCGACGTCGACGAGGATGGGCAAAGTGAATCATTGCCCGAAAGGGCGGCCAACATTGTACGACAGGCCTTCATTATATGCCTCAATGACCGTAATACGGTGCCAGGCGGCATCAAAGACGGCAAACCTGATGGAAAGAAGGTTGGAATCTACAAAATGGCAAATATATGTTTGAAGACTTTATTTCAGGCCGATAAGCTTGGAAGCTGCGAAACCATCTTCAACAACATATCCAACTCATCACCACCACTACACATTTATCCAGCTGCGGAACGCATCACCTATCTCTACTACCTCGGGCGGTACCAATTCAGCAACACCAACTTCTACGGAGCTCAGCTCGTTCTGGAACTAGCTTACAGAGGCTGCCACAGGCAATGTCCGAGTCAACGTCGCTTGATTGCCGTCTGCCTTGTCGCTGCCAACATCATCCTTGGGCGTTTCCCAAATGAACATATCTACAATGACCCTGCATGCGTGGGCTTCCGCGAAGTATTCGAACCGCTCACTCGTGCAATTCGCAAGGGCGACCTCGAAACTTTCCGTCGGATAACGAACCTGGACCTTTCACATCCAAGTGCAGAGTTCATGATCAAGTACCGGATTTTCTACCCTATTGGTAACTATTGCGAGGTTCTCGTATGGTGGTCACTTCTTCGTAAGACTTTCATCCTCACCGGAAGCATAGGAGAAGCATCAAAATCAGCAGCTTTGCTCGACCTCAACGCAGCCGTTCTTATCTTCCGCTTCCTTGAGGCGCGTTCGCTCATCAAGAACGCCGCCATGGCCGCGCAAGACCGCGGCCCAGGTCGTCGTAACTTCGGTCATATTTTTCAAGACCACGCTTCAACAAATAAGTCAACATACATCGACCCTGATTTCGTTGGCATGGAGGGGGTGCAGCCATACACCCATGAGTTCGATCTATTGGAGATGGAGTGCATCTGCGGCAGCCTCATTACTCAAGGCTATTTGAACGCATACATTGCTCAGGCGAAGCAAAAGCTCGCTATTCAAGGTGTAAAGACGGGTAACCTGAGTGCAGGATTTATCAATCCGTGGGAGGTCAACAAAGACAGAAACAAGGATGAGGTGCTTGGATGGAAGAAAGAAGCTGGAGGTGATGGAGGGCAGGTTGTCAGGCTGTCGTTCGCGGCACCGGCTGGATCGTAGGAGATGTTGCGAATGATACCCTGGTACTTATGTTGGATATGTATATGTGCTGATAAGTATCTATATTTGAGTGTGTTGCTAATCCAACGCATATCACACATTCAGAAAAAACTCTGTCTATGCCGATCTGCCTCTGTTAATTGTAGTAAGCCATCAAATCTCGCACTTGCCTTGGTCGTTTCTTCATCCTTGCACTTCATCTCGTGTCCGGCTAGAAGGTAAAGGTCGCACCGGAATCCTGAGCAGATGGGACGCGTTACCCACGCAACCTACATTTCGCTGCGCATATTATGACCCATCGGGAACCAACTCTACAGCACTCTCTTGAGCTCAAAATCAATTTCTGCTCATTTCTTGTCAAGTTGCCTGATCCCCCACGACTGATGTATATGTTATCGAAAGGAAACACTGTATGCCGAGAAAATATAACATCCAAGGACTAACATCAACATATGGAAAAGGAATATACGCAGAGCATGATCATTGCTGAACATTAAGTAGCAGAAGAATACAATCAGGTACCCAAGGAAATAGACTAGAGACGAAAATGCGTCTAGTCAAGAGTGCATCTTTGGATCATGTAATTCTAGTGGATCTTGAGTAACGTGAGATGCGGCTAGTGAAGGTTGTAGGTTTCGATTGAGCCGCTTAATACTATGGAGAACTTGCTTATGTTCTACCTTATATTTGCGCTCATTTTCCAACGTTGGTGAAGCGCAAGTACTTCTTGACCTCTCTGACGTCGCCAAACTTCTTCCTCGCATCCTCGGTGGAGACACTGGGGGGTACAATAACGTCCTGGCCCTTCTGCCAATCGATAGGTGTCGCAATACCCTTCTTATCTCCTGTCTGCAAGCTGTCGATGACTCTGAGCACCTCTGCAGTGTTCCTGCCCGTGCTCGCGGGGTACGACATTGTGAGACGAATCTTCTTCGCCGGATCGATAATGAAGACCGAACGGATTGTAAAGGCAATGCCGCCGTTCTTCTGAAGCGCGTCAAGGTCGTCTTGCGAGATCATGTCGTAGAGAAAAGCGACGTGGCGGTCTGCGTCGGCGATGATTGGGAATTGTACCGTGGTGTTGGACGTCTCGTTGATGTCGTCGATCCACTGGTCGTGCGAGCTTAGGTCATTGGCGCTCTGCAGTACACGTCAGTAGGCTGATGTTAAGCCACCAGAGGTACGATGAGACGTACCAAACCAATCATCTGAACGCCTCGCGCATCAAATTCATTCTTGAGCTTCGCGAAAGCTCCAAGCTCAGTTGTGCAAACGGGAGTGAAGTCGGCAGGGTGCGAGAATAGGATGGTCCACTTGTTGTCCAAGAATTTGTGGAAGTCCTGTTTGAGGTCAGTATATCTTCCACAAACAATTTGTTGGAGATATTTACCATGTCGCCATGAGTAGTCTTCGCCTGAAAGTTGGGCGCTACGCATGGTCAATATGATTCACCTCTTGACTTGGACTTCTCTCTAAAAACTACATACCAATGGAGCCCAGCCTCAGTCGTGGTTGCTCAGCTGGGAGCGCGAATCCACGACGGAATAGTGGGGCAGCAGGGCGCTGTACCCTTAGTGCAGGGCGCGCTGAAGAGCGAAGAGCTCGAGAAGCTGCACGAGGGAAAAAAGAAGCCATTGTGAAGTTTGTGGGAGCAATCAGGTGCCTGAGATGTGTTCTAGAGCTTTGGTGCGTTGTCTACGGCGGCGATGTAGACTAGTAAATCGGGGACTTTTTGATATGGCGTCATGTCAAATGAAATGGTCCGACGGTCCGAAATCGGCTCCCTTTGCCTCTCCGTACTGCAATGGATTCATCGCTGCAGAATGTTCGGCGCGCTGAACATCGTCGACATATGACAGTGCCCAAATTGATGTTACGCGTACAACAGCAACAACTCTGCCACGCGTATGCCACGCGACATGTTCAACATGACGTCAGCGCGCGTATTAGCATCCGCCAAGCTACGGATCAAGTCTTACGCACTTCCATCTACTTTCCCATCTTTGATGGTTATCTCTAATTCGTCTTCTGAATCCAGCATGATTGGAACAGTCCAATTCTTCCATAGACGCATTGAGACCTTCTCGCCTTCTCCCTCTTCTTTCCTCAGCACGTCGCGCCACCATCGGCAACCCTTTGGATGCATTCGAATCTTGTATCGTCCGTCCTCAAGGCCCTTGATCTTTGAGCTAATATCAACTACGTTAACGACTGGGGTTTCAGGCTTCAAGATTGACAACTCATCAATCGTCGGTCGCAGGTCGGCTTTTGAATCCCTCAAGTGACAGATGCTAGTATCGTGATGTCCGCGTACTATTTCATCAGTTGCAGCATTGACGACGAAGAGACTTGACACAGGCGAGTGTCGTTGCTTTGACTGGTCGATGATCCTTGGGCGTTCGTCGAGGGTGTCAGGTTCTGGAGCCGAAGGACCCCATGGGACGAGAAAGTTCTGGTGCCCCCGTGGTTGCACGGTCGCAGTCTCCGAGCCAGTGTTGACAACAGTGACTTCCAAGGACATACTCTTGACTAGGCGTATTCTCACCTCTAGTTGAGGTGGAAACGTCAGGTCATCAACAACATTAAAAGCTGCATGGCCATGAGAGTAGCTGTTTACCAGTTTCGCCTCCTCACTGTCTCCGTCGCTGTCGGAAAACCTCTCTCGGTCACTATAAACCCATTTTTTGACACCAAGGTCGCGGCTTGCGAGTTTTATTCTGTATCTTTTTCGCGGCTTCAGGACTAATGCTAACACCCCCTGGGGATCGATAGCGCATAGGTATACCGTGAGATCATCTCTCCAGTTCTTTTTCCGGTGGATCGGAGACGGAACTGAGATGCAACCTGAGTTGCCCTCATCCACCTCGCCCATCGAGCTTATATCCACTTCAACCCACTTCGTAGATTCCCCGGGGCGTTCTTCGTACAGTATAAGTAACCCATGCATCAGGGCGTAAGGCACATCGAAGACTGAACCAGCCGTTTCAACGAGTATTGGTCGAGAGTCTGTATCGGACTTTTGTAACCGACAAAGACCAAAGACCACACTGAATGGTAGCTTTCCTGATGTATCGAAGGCGTTGTAACGGCTGTTGAGCTCTACGTGGATCGGAAATTCGGTCATTTTGGTTTGTATTGACAAAAGTAGAAGAGCCTGTTGATGCCAAAGGAAGTAAAGAGAAGAGCGTTCTTGACTATGGCTTTCGCCTGAAATGACGTCAGGCAAACACTACGTGTAAGCTGTGGTGTGCCTTGAGGTATCAATGTGAGTCAGATATTTCGAACGGGCGACATAACCCAATAGTCTAAAAAAGCGCATTTCGGATTGCTCGGCATGTTCGCTGTTGCGACAGTTCCTCTTCTCGACGAGGTATAAGAGTTCAAAATTGTTATTGACTGGGATGTGTACAAGTACAGTCAATGAGCTAGAGCTCTCAAGGTGCGACTCTTATTCAACCTTAGATACCCAAAATACACGTCGCCTCAAGCATGTCACACTGTAGTGGTGGTCATATATAGCTAGCTATAGAATGTCAAGGGTGGTGAGAATCAACGCAAAGGGCGAGACCAGCCATTCCTGGTGTTTTTCCTTGCGAAGCGCAATACGTCCGCAGATGCGATCAGATCCGACAGGGCACCATATTGAAGTCATTCGATGCGAAAGACGAGCTGTGTTTACTGGCTTACCCGTGGTTGACAGCATTTTCGACCTTGATGGATACCTTACGCTCGGAAGTTCGGAGGTCTTCCATTACTCACTTTTCGCATGAAGCGGGCTGGATGGTTGAATCCCGCAGACAAGGATAAGGAAGTCTTGCACCAGCAGTAGTCTTATGCAACACAAATCCTTGCAACTCCTAGCGGCAGTATCGATCGTTTGAAACTATATCATGGATCCGCTATTATGGCGACCAAGGGCTTGGAAGGTACCGCGGTGGCACCGTTGAGTACTTTCACTTCGGAATGTTCGTCAATTTATTAACTGTGGGTATGGTGACGCTGTCTGCATCGAATTGGTAGATAGGGTTCACAGTTGCAAGGCCGAAGACGTAGTGATTAGTATGCTAGTATTGGACGCATATCAGCATGCTTCAACTATCCAGAAGCCATGTCATTATGCTTGTCTAGATTGGGTGGGCCCAACAACCTTGTCCATCTCTGTAGTGTGTGATTCATTCCACGATCTGCGTAGCTGCATTCATTCCGCCACATTTTGTTAGCTGTGATTGTTTGTAACTGCAGCTGCCTTGTGTCGACCGTTTTGTAATTCCGAATTATAGAGATATACCCGCTGAGACGCTTATCAATAACCGTTCTTGGAAGTGAACTGCCTGTGTCATGTAGTTCAGCAAGCACCATGTGTCCGACTCTTTTGTAAAATTGTTCAAAAACACCCATGACAAGCACGTCTTGTCTACGCCAATCTTACACGAGGTATAAAAGTACAGTAACGCCGTCCATACGCCTGCGTTGGAGGAGGTCGTTCGACCCTTTATTGGTTCTCCTGCTTAGCTTGTTGTTGTTGTTGTTGTTGCTGCTGTTGCTGCTGCATAGCGTTCTGCCCCCAATTCTGCTGCAGGCCTGCGCTATTCGGTGGTTGTGAGGTATTCGAGTTGATGCGCTGTGGTCCTGGTGATTGCTTCATCTGGGGAGTTTGGCCTTTCCATCCCGGAAACAGCTCCTGGAGCTTTGTATACAGCTTTGCGAGCTCGGCAGGGGCGGCGGGAATCGACATTATGGCAGGCCCAGGCTGTAGTTGTTGACCAGGCTTGGGCACCTTCTCGGCGTTCTGCGCAAGGTATGCGAGGTTTGCCTGCAGGCGGCGCATGTAGCTGGGCTTGTTAGCTGAGACGGCGCGTGGGAGGCGGCGCACTTACTCTACGTACTCCTTGGATGGCTGGGGCTTGTCGCCTTCGGGCTTCCCTTCGGGCGTGGGCCCTACTTGGCCGGCCTTGCCCTGCACCTGGAGCTCGCAGACCTCCTTTATGAGGATGCTGTTGATGTCGAGGAGGGTCGCGACGCGGTCGGCACTGCGCGCCTGATTGACTGGCGACACGGGCGATGGGGGCACCTGCTTGACTGGCGTGTGGACCTGTGGCGGCTCGGCCTTGACGGGCAGCTGGAGATTCATGGGCTGCTGCTGGCCGTTGGTCTGCATGCTACTGGGCGACTGCTGGGGCTGGGGCGTCGCAAAGGGCGCCTGTCCGGTGGTGCTCGCGGGGGAGGCCGTCTGGCGGTTCTGGGCAAACTGGTGGTGGGCGGGCGAGGGCATCGTCTGCGCATAGGGCGCGTTGGAGTAGGGGCTCGGCGACGATAGCTGGTGTTGCTGCTGCTGCTGCTGCTGCTGCTGTTGCTGTTGTTGTTGTTGCTGCTGTTGCTGCATGGCGGCTGCTCCATGGTGTCATGTCAGCCAGGAACGCGCCCATTTGCGGCCATGGGGCAGATCAAGAACACGCGCACGTCACTGGCTTACCTCGCTGCTGGAGATATGGGGCTCCTGGCTGGATTCCGTTGCTGCCCATGGCGCCACCCATGCCCGGGAAAGATGCGGTCTGCCCATATTGTCCATGTGGGTTGCCCTGTTGCTGAAGCCGCGCCTGTGCATCGAATTGGGCGTGTTGCGGAGAATTGGCGAACTGGCCGCTATACGCATTAGGGTTATTGAAATCCATTGTTGGCACTCATTGGCCACGTCGCACAACTCGGATTAGATTGATCGGTGGGTTGATGGGAGAAAACGTGCGGTTCGTGATAAGCTTGGGTTTCGGCTCTAGAAGCTTTGCAACCCCAGCTCAGGCCAGCCGAGCGAGTCATCGTTGGCCTTCTTCTCCCTTCACTCCAGCGCGACTGCTTCTTTCACGAGCGCAAGCAACACTTGCAAAAGGAACATGGAAACGGGCCAAATTCTGCATGCCTGTCTACTGCATCAGCGTGCAAGCATGTCCTAATGCAGCGCGCCTCAAGCAACCTCACACCTTCCGCATCCTTGTCACATGGGCCCACAAAAATGCTTGACATATCCCCCCGCCATGGGACGAGACGCTTCCAGATCTGTCACCAGGTACGACGGCCTGCCATTAATACCGGGCCTGGGGCTCTTATCCGGCATCTAAATAAACGGCCACTTGCATGTGCCATGTCCCTGACTCCCGGGAAAGACGGGGCCGCCTTGGGGCGATTTGGAAGCAGCACACATCTCTGCCTTGTACCTCACATTTGCTATCCCTCTCCCTTGTGCACTCCTGCCTCATCTAAAAACGCCACCTTGTATTCGTGATGAGCTTGGCAATCGAGTGTAACTACATCATAGGTTCTCATCCTGCGATTCTAAGCGAGCCCTTAGCTCATCACGCGGTGTGTGGATGGCCTCGTTAACCGGGTCCCAGTCCTCAACACGCCTTCCAGTGTGTGTGATATATCCATGTGGCTGCATGACGTCGGAACATGGCGCCGAAGAGGAAAGTCTCGGTGTAGAGAGCGCAAAACGTGATCACTCCTCGGAATCTACAGTACATATTTCGGACCGAAGTAATATGTAGAGATACCACTCCACACTGAACATGTGTAAATTCCTTTATTATTCTCCAAAGACCTCCTCCTTTGTGGGCGTCTCTTTGCGGCGCAGTGCTACAAAGTACGCCTCTCTTGATTCCTGGAGTCAGTCAGTAAACAACGTCAGTCGCGCAACAAGACGTACCGCGCGTGACGACTCGGGTTTCTCTCGGTACACTTTGGCAAAGAGACGCTTGAGCTTCGTCTCAAACGCCTTTTCCTCTGACCCCTTGTAGTACTTGCAGAGAAAGTGACCGCCAGTCTTCAGTGTATCGAATGCGAATGTCATGGCAGCCATGCACAAGTCCTACAAACATTAGTCAGGCCGAGGCTGGTCGCAGAGACACCTACCATACTACCAGCGTGGTCTCTAAACGCGTTTCCACTCGTGTTCATCAACCTAGAATATGGGTCACTAAGGCTCTTCTTGTAGAAGCCGGCCGTTTGGTCCCAGGGTTCTGACATGTCGCTGAGCACAACGTCCACTGCTCTACCTTGCCGCGCATCCCTCTCCTTCAATGAGAGCCTTGATAGATCCTCTTGCTCTGCATCACTACCCTCTGCTGGCCGCCCGATCGGCTCGAGTTCTGCACCGTCTAGATGAGCTTGTCGCTCAATATCAATGTACCCACGTTCCATGTCGTCCAGCTCTTCTTCAGTAACCCCCTCATCTGCCTTTGCGGAAACTTGCCTCCTAAGTCGGCCCAATTCTGGATCTCGGACGTAGGCTCGAACCTCGTCCTGGATCACAGGTGAGAGGAAATCGCCTTGTATAGTGGAGACACCTCTTGGTGGTTGTGCAGGTATCAAATCTATACCTATGACGCGACCATCTGGGGCAGTACGATTTGCAGCGACCTGAAGAAATTAAGATGGAATCGCTTGAGCAGATGTGTCCGTCAAACCTGAGACCATGAGCCTGGTGCAAATCCCTGGCTTACATGAGCTATATCATCTCAAAAATGTATACAAACTTACAAGATCAACAATGGTTTGTCCGGACTTGAATAGCTTGTGCTTGCCGTTGAGCTATTGCATGTCAGCGACTGTGCATCTTTCGTAAAGGGAGCCATTACCTCGAGCAACTTGAATGCAGCGCGACTTTTTAAACCCTGGACTTTAGCTTCTTTGGAGAAGAAGTCCCTGCCTTGACGTGACTTCCATTTGGTCGAAGATGAAGACGAACGACGAGATGAGGGCACATTTCTTGGTTGACGAAAGTCACGGGTCGTACATGTTGAGGCAAAGCAGGCTGATGCTACTGGAAGACATGTCGATTCCAGTAGCAAGCTATCGGTGAGCTGCCGGAATAGACGACGTGATAGCATAGAGGAGGCGCAAAGGATGAGCCTTCGCCTTCGCCTTTGCCCTCGCAGGTCTTATACATCCTTATCGATAACGGACACGAACAACAGCTCGACAGGTCAGTTATAGTATTAGCTCTGCAGAAAGCCTCCGGCAGAAGAGAACGCAGCTCCGACGTCGATTTGTTGCAAGCGACACTATCATTATCTTTACTAGAGGACGTCTGCTGTGTTTGCAACGGCGAGCACTCATCGGGGCAGCAAATGAGGTCATCTCCGGATTATTATCGTCTTTGACCTCGGAACCTCTCATCGTCTACAACCTCCACGGCCGATATGTGTACCCCGCTGTCCTCTGGAGTCTAGTGACGACGCTATCTTAACTGGGTGTGGGGTCGTGTGCTCAGGAAAGTGTATACTCTGGATGCCTTCGTGATATGTGGTGACAGAGCGGTAGCATTCCGGAAGCGAGACGGTTCCGCATGTGACGACAACCATCTCAGACGAACAGAGCGTACCAAGGTCATGAGCAGCATAACTACAGGACAACGACCTGCTGCGTCTCTAACAACAGCTGATATAAAGGGGGTGACTGCGCGCAGCTGACTGTCATGCCTAGTAAGGGGTGACTGAGGCGCAACGCCAGTTTCCCTCGACCTGCCCTTGTGTTCCCCTGACGTGTTGCTATGATGCGCGTCGAATCATTGTGACTTGGGGTCAGCCCTGTGATTCTAGTGGACTCGTAGTCAGCCCATCAAGGGGCTGACCCCGGAAACAGACGACGACAGGTGTCCACCGGGGCCAGGTATCGAGTCGCGAAAGACCGGGCTGACAGCGAGTACCGTGGTTGTTATAAGCATGTCTGATGGCATTCGTTGGTTGGTGGCGCTAGCCTAAAATCTGCTCCTTCCTCCCGCGGTATCCTCAAATCTCCACTACCAAACCATCCAAACACGACAACACTAACGAGCCGCAATACCCATGACACGCGCGCGAAGACACCTCTACACACTCATCTGAAAACTGCCTTGCATGGAAGATCGAACCCACCGTGAATCGACAAGTCCTGCTCACCTCATACGGCCAGAAATCTGTCTTCACCTCAGCAACACCAACTTCCGATGACCTCGACATTCCGTCGCGCGATCTTTTCTTTGCTTCGATAGAACCTGTCCCTGTCCGGACAATATACACTTCACTTTCTAGGGCAGCAGCGCCACGTTTCCAGTAACGTCGACTTAAGCCATGTCGAAACCATCAGAGAAGCCACAATCGCAAGCACCCGCAATCATGAGCGACGAACCGGGCAAGGGCATAAAAGTGAGTACAGGACACACTTCTAGTCACAAAACATCAATTGACCGCTCATCGCAGCCCCTCGGCACGCCAGACATCACCAGCCTGCAGCGCATTCGCCAGGTCTTCGCGCAGCCAGTCCTGGCTTCTTTTGTTGCTGGCGGCGTAGCGGGCGCTGTATCACGAACTGTCGTATCCCCGCTCGAACGCCTTAAGATCTTGTTTCAGGTCCAGAGTGTTGGTCGCGAAGAATACAAAATGTCGGTCCCCAAGGCACTGGCTAAGATGTGGAGGGAAGAGGGCTGGAGAGGCTTCATGGCTGGAAACGGTACCAACTGCATACGCATTGTGCCGTACTCTGCTGTGCAATTCAGCGCATACAACGTCTATAAGCGAGTAAGTCATTACTCTTTCCTACAGCGTCTTTTTTTTTCGTTTTCTCGCAAGCGGGTTGCTTCATGAACTCTGCGTCAGGACGAACAAGGTAAGGGAGGAATCAAAAAGGAGAGGGGTGACGGTAAGTTGGGAAGGACCTGAAAGCCGGAGAAACAGAGAGCGCTTTAGGGGTGGTGAGGGGTGCACGAGGACACCAAGGAATTTCAATGAGAATGATGGTAACGGGATTTTCCCCAATTTCTTACAGCTGACTTCCCCTAGTTCTTCGAGAGCGAACCAGGCGCGCCCCTCGATGCCTATCAGCGACTATTCTGTGGTGGTCTTGCTGGTATCACATCCGTAACCTTCACTTACCCACTCGATATCGTCCGCACCCGTCTATCCATTCAATCCGCATCGTTTTCCGATCTCAAGAAGGAAGCTGGCCAGAAGTTACCGGGCATGTGGGCGTTGCTTGTGAATATGTACAAGACCGAGGGTGGCATTCCGGCGCTATATCGTGGCATCCTTCCCACCGTGGCAGGTGTCGCACCGTATGTCGGCCTTAATTTCATGGTCTACGAGATTGCCCGTACAAAATTCACACGCGACGGCCAGAAGGATCCCGGTGCTATTGGCAAGCTAGGAGCAGGTGCCGTCTCCGGTGCTGTCGCGCAGACCATCACATACCCGTTTGATGTTCTGCGGCGGAGATTCCAGATCAACACCATGAGTGGCATGGGGTACCAGTATGCGGGAATCGGTGATGCTATCAAGCAGATCATCAAGACAGAAGGCTTTAGGGGTCTCTACAAGGGTATCGTACCCAACCTTCTCAAGGTCGCGCCCAGCATGGCTAGCAGTTGGCTCAGCTTCGAGATGACACGAGACCTGCTGATGGGCAAGCTGAACTCGGGCTTTTTGTAGGACAAACAGTCCAACATGACCATTATCGAACCGAACTACAGCCCAGCGCATTTACTTCTCACTTCGCATCACGAGTACTCTCCGGATTAGACGGCAGGAATCTCATGACGAAGAATCTTTTCCGAAAAGTTAGATACACGACATCGTCTACCGACAGCAGGTGACATTGTATAACGCCAACGACAGCCTTGATTACAACACATCAGCATTGCATTTGGGACCGGCACGGCTTGGGGGGTTTTGTTTTTGGGAACCCCGTCCCATGGATATAGCGAAGGCGTTTGACAGGACTGTAGCCATTGCAGGTTGCACAACATTGCATGCACATTTCTATTTTGATCGTTTTAGGAGTCGAAAACGAACTCGGCAAGGAACAATTATGGATGATATATAGAAGCATTCGAGTCCAATGAGTGAACATGGCATGGCTTGTACAATATTGAGAAGTCAGGAATAATGTAACCACTTATGCATTAACATCGACTTGTGAGACATGTGCATGTAGATTGTTGAACAAATTTGGTATTTGAGATGGTCTACATGACGCTGCTAGAAGATCAGCCCCCCAAGACTTTTACTCTGGATGCAAGGGAAGATGTTACAGTATTTACAAAAACCCTCTATAGCTCACCGTCCTTCCTCAAAGTCTCGTTGCCCCAGGGCTCACTTGTCAAGCAAGTGAGACCGCCTGCTGGCTCACAGCTCTTCCTTCCGCTCAATGGTCCTGGTGATGGTAGCTTGACACCGCCAGCTGCGTATTCCCGCCCCTGCTGGTTGGCGAGAGCCTCGCCAGCACCTGCCTCTACGTTGAGCGATCCCTTGCCAGATCCACTCGCCAGGCCCTTGTCTCCGGGCTGCGCACCGGTGGTTTGAGCGGCGTGCTTGAGAGCCTTGAGCAGGTTGACTGTTGAGTCGTATGTGAGGTCCTCGTAGTAGTCGTCGTTGATTTGGACCATGGGCGCGTTGGCACATGCACCAAGGCATTCTACCTCTGAGAAAGTGAAGAGGCCATCCGCAGTGGTCTCGCCGTGGTGTACGCCCAAGACGTCTTCGCAAGCCTTCATAACGGAGTCACTGTCGCAAAGCATGCATGGGGTCTAGATGCTGTCAGCTGCTGCCCTTAATGCCAAGCATAGAGTCAACCCACAGTTGTGCAGACCTGGACGTGGAACTTGCCCACTGGGTCCCGGTTGTACATGGTGTAGAAAGTCGCAACTTCGTACACACGCATTGGTGGCATCTCTAGTATCCGCGCAACCTCGTTCATGACGCTGATGCTGCAGAATCCGTGCTGGCGTTGTCCCAGGTCGAGGAGCGGCATTACGGCGGCCTTCTTGTACTGCGAGGGGTATCGGGAGACAATCTCTTGGATGAGTTCCTCATTTTGTGGTGTGAACTTGAAGGGAATTTTGAGGTTATTTTGGGGCGTGTCGCGGTGCTACAGATATGTCAGCTCGGCTTTCAGCGCAAGACTCAGAAAAGACATACGACGTTGAGCGAGCCGCTCTCGTTCCATGACGGCCGCGATACGCTGAAAGCCCGCCATTGAGCCCTCTGGAACTGTCGCGAGGCCCGTGGGGCAATCCTACATGCGAGGGGGACGAGTCTTGAGGCCATGGTGGGTTGTGCTGCGGGCTGGAGGCGATGGCGTCGATTGAAGATGTCAACGATGAAGCTCATCCGAAAGGCCAAGTCAATGTACAGGGGCCGTTACAATCAGCCGCCTCTGATTGGCTGCTCTCAACACCCCACTCCATCCGGCCTTGCACGCCTCTTCACTCTTACTCCGCATAGTTCAGGTCTTCTCAAACATCGCTTCATGCTGGATATGATCGATAGTATTACCTGATCGCCGCTCTCCCGAGAATGCATGGGTCTACGAACTCGCTGTTTGAAACACATTACCGCCTCTGCTGCATCCAACCATGCCCAGTACAGCTGAGCCCGCCACGTAGCTATCCCCACCGACACCGTCGTCTTGCATGGTGTCGTCTCTGCACACTGCGGAAGCTTCATTTTTCTCTGCCATAGGCGGCATTCTAGCCTGCGGGTTTCTTTGCTGGCAACGTCTCCGTGTTAGCCTGTGAGCGAAAATGGCTCGGTACAGAGCCGCATCGATGCTGCTGGAATGCGCCTACGGCGGTCAACCACGTCTGATCAAACTGTGGGTCTGCTAACACATGAGCTGGGAGCACCTCGCGACCTTGCAACTTTTGGGAGTAGCAGTCGGTGGGCTGAGGAACGCACAGGATCTCTCTTTCTGTGCCCTCGTAGGTGGAAAGACACGGTAGACAGTGCATCTGGCCAATCGGCCGCTGCTCGCCTCATTGACGGCGCTCCGCGCGGACGCAGCCGCGACCGCTGTTTGATGAGTTGTACTGGTGTTTGTATGTCAATCCGGTGCCTTCACAGGCTTAGAACAGCATCCGCTTCTTCCAGCCTTGTTTCAGAGTCATATGATGCAGCTACGTGTACGAGGCCATCACTCCTGCAGCACTTCACTAGTACATGGGGGCGGTCAATACCCTCGGCGTATAAGTATTAATCACTGCTATCACAACATTTCCTAGTTTTCCTCTCCACAACCCCTCTCCGTACCCCATCGTACACTGCCGACTTACCTTCGTGTTCGTCTCTCAGCTCGTCCACATCTACGCCCAAGATGTGCAGGTACACAATAACAATACTCGAATGCGGCCACAAACAGAATGATCACGTCGACACATACAACTGCCCCTACTTCGAAAGAACTAGCGTCAGCTGTGACCGTGAGAACCCTAAAACGAAAGACCGCTGCACCATAAAAACTTGGAATGAGAACGGAATCTGCAGTAGATGTCTCCGCGAAAACGAAGAAGCCGCTATGCGCCGCGACTTGGAGAGGGAGAGAGAATTCAAACGCAGGGAAGCCGCAGAAAACGAGGAGGCTCTGCGACGTGGTGAGAGAGAACTCCTCGAGAAGAACCGCAGGCTAGCAGATGAAAAATGGCGGGCTGAAAAAGAGGCCGAGGAACAAGCCAGGGAGAGAAGTCGTAGAGAACAGGAGAAGAAGAAGGCAGCAGAGGAAAAGCGGCGGGCTGAGAGGGAAGCTGAAGAACGAGCTAGAGAGAGAAGCCGAAGAGAACACGAAAAGAAGATGGCAGCAGAGGAGGCACGCACAAGAGAAGTCGAAAGGCAGAGTAAAGCAGAATACGAAAGACAACTGCAAGAAAGGCTGGACCAGGACATGCAGATCATGATTCAAAAGTCCTTGGACGAAGCCGCACGGAAGAAGAAAGAGGAAGAGGAAGAAATGCAGAGAGCATTGAGAGAGTCCGCAAGATTGGAACATATGGAGAGGAGCTATCAAGAAGACGCAGTAGGTTCAGGCATTGAAGATCAGAAGCAGCATCTGCTAACCTCACTCCTCCCACAGATCCGATCTACTAGAACAGACGTCCCAATAAGGACAGCTGCGCCGCCTTCACCACCCGCCACTCCACCTATGAAGAGCATGCCACCACCACCACCACCTCCTGCTCCAGCTCCAGTTCCTAAGCCCGCAGTCGCCAAATCTGCTCCCCGCCCCCCACCAGCACCCAAGCCCGCTACGGTATCCAGGGAAACAAACTACGCCCTCCCTCCCGTCGGCGAACAGAAGATTGGCCGCTTCAAACTAGGTGGCCGCAGCGTGCCTATTCATGAATCTCAAGATATCCCCGACACACCCACAACTTCGGGCATACCCATGTCACCTTCAAGTCCAGCGCCATTTGCGCGTCTAGGTGGTGCAATTGCGCCATCTGATATGCCCATCATGCGAGAGCTCAAGGGTCAGGTTCCGCCCGTTGTACCAGCAGCTATGGATTCAAAAGCGGGACTGAGGAAGACAGGTGGACCAAGAAAGGCGCCTCCACCAGTGCCGGAACGCATAGGTGTGGATCCCAAACTTGCAGCTCTGCTAGCGAAACAAAGGGCTTGGGAGCCCGAGGATGACGGCGAGATGGGTGCAAAGATTGTTACGCCGCCTGAGTCTCCGTCGGGCATCCAAGCACGTAGGCTAAGTCCGGTGGAATTCGACACTAAGCGCAAGTCGGGCTGGAAGAAGGAAGAGGAGTAAAGGTTTCAAACTTGCATACGAGGCGTTAAGGGAGCGATATTCACATGATCTCAGTTCATTCGTGGTATATCATGTAGCACATCAATCTTATTACAACGTCCTTTTCATCATGGACAGAATGTCATCATCGGTTCTGGATGTGTCCTTCCCTGGTTCGTGTCTTCACCTGAAATAAACACCAAAGAGCCTTACTCGACGTAGTATTCCCGCTTCAGAAACTCAGCGACATGGTCTACCTCAGCGTATTTAGTCTTGGAGACATCCAAGTTCTGGCGCCTCTGACCGCACTCATCAAGACTCTGACACTGTACTGATGTTAGCAATGCAAACTAGATGTGACCTCAGCTGCGAAGTGGACAGTATAGGTGATGAGTGTACCATATCAGGGTCATGCTTAGCGTATTCGAAGAATGCATCGACCTTCTTTATGTAGTCTGGTGTGTTGAGGTTGTTTCGCAACATGCGTAATGAGTCGCTTGCGTATCTGGTAATGTCAGCCAGCCTTCCACTGCCCGTGAGCATACACATACACCTTGACATTTCCATTGAAACCCACATCCTCCATGACGTTCATCACAAGCTTGGCAGAGACAGTGCGGTCGGGATGGTCGAGCTGGTCGCCCTCCTCATCGGTGCTGAGAGCCTCGAAGTAGTTCAGCATACGGATGTTGTTTGCCCGTCTATCCCGGATGATCGTTGTGATGATGTCCTTCACATGCTGAAGAGTGTAGGTGACCTTTCTGTCCGTCGTAGAGATGTGCGGTATCTCTGAGTTGTATAGTTTGGCTAGTGACTCTTCGGAATACGCCTTGTATCCCTTCCCGAAGTATTCGCTCTGGGGAAGGCGAAGGTAAATGATCTGTACATTGGAGCGTCCGAGAAGTGGGGAGGCGGAGATTGT